TTCCTTTGCCTTAAATAAATCCTGGCTCGTGCACACCTCGAATTTTTTCAGGCGTGGAGGGAAAGGCTCGGCATCGCCCTGACACACTCAGAACTGAACACGCAGCCACGCCGCCCTGTGCACACGGCCACATCTCAGGTCCCATTTCTAAGCTGTCAGCCGGCTTCGGTTTCCAGCAGACCTGGGTGAGAAGCCTCCATCTTCTAGGTGTGATCTTGGGGTAACTGACTTCACACCTCAGCTCCCCGCAACTCCATGAGGCGCAGAGTAGCTGAGGCTCCGCCTGTGTGAGCCCCAGTCTCGACTCCAGGCTGCCTACCTCCTGCTGCTGAGCCCCGACGGCGAGATTCGGGAGGGAGGACTCGGTGCAAAAGCGTGTGGAGTGTTGCCCCACGCGGTACCAGGGCTGCTCTCTTCCACGGGGGAAAGCAAGCAGCTGAGACGGAGCTGTGCGCCATGCGTGGTAGCTTCTGCTCCTGCTTCTCACGTTGGTTGAGCGGTGGTTTACCATAACCCCGAAGATTCGTCACCACGGACACTGCCTGGTTTTGCCGTAGTCGCAGACCGGCCAGTGCTAAGCAAAGGCCTAGCCCAGGGGCTGACGGCCGCCCGCCCTCGTGTGCGCAGCTGCGGCTGATGAGCGCGGTGCGCGCCAGCATCGTGGAGCAGCGCTTCCCCGAGTTCGTGCGCGACTTCATGGGCACCATGTACGGGGACCGCACCCTCTGCCCGCCCTGGGCCACCGAAGCCCTGGCCTCCGTGGGAATCACCTTGGGCTGACCCGGCCGCGCCGGCCAAGGGCGCTGGGCCGGACAGATGACTCGGGGATGTTGTGGGTGGTTTTTATTACTGTTTTTTTAATTACAATGCTAACCGTGCGTCCGTGGCTTCCTCTTCCTGGGGCGGTGGGTCCCCTACCTGATGCGGGCGTCACCACCCCTGGGTGTCCCCAACTTCCGAGAAGTGGCCCCCAGCAGCAGCTCAAAGAACTGGAGACCCCTTGGCCCAGCCCCCGTTTGGGGCTTCTTTTGGTTTTTTTCCCAAACCCCCCCTGGAGGGGGGCGCTGTGCGCCCATCTTTGACGAGGGAGGAACCGGCCCAGGGGGAAGTGGCTTGGCCAAGGTCACCGTCCAGGAAGTGGCAGCTCCACTTGGGGGCCTAGGCCCTCGGCCTTGACCCTGAGGGCAGTGTGGCTCCTCGTGGCCAGGCAGGGCTGCCCACGGGTGCTTCCGCCCCGCGCGGCACCGTGCTGCCTCCCGGGTGTCGGCGGGGACCTTCCAGAGGTTCGTGGGGAAGGCGTGGGGTGGGGGTGGGGTCCAGATGCCCGCACCCCGAGCTGTTGTCCCCGGTTGCAGTCCCGGCTTTGCACGCTGGGAGCCGTGGTGAGGCGCAAGCTCTTGGGGCCACCCATGCCACCCACATGGCCTCGGGGGTTGAGTTCCGAGCTCCCCGCGCGGGGCTGGCCCAGGTGTGGCTGCTGTGGGCAAGTGACTCCGTGGATGGAAGACCTCTCCGGCTGTCTCTCCCAGCTGGCTTTAAAATAGATTAAAATATTTTTTAAAGTGAATTTTGAAAAACGTGTAGCTTTCGAAACGTCTTGTGCCCAAATAAACCAAAGTCTTCATTCCATTTGCCGTGAACTCTCTGCAGCACCCTTGCATTGAGCAGTTGTAACCGTGGGACCCGAGTGCTTAGGTTTGGAGGAAGGAAACGCTTAGCTTGGTTGTTGCCTGTCTTTGCTTAGTCAGCTTGTCGTCATCAGATTCCCACTAGGGGTCTGCAGTGTGTGTGGCATGCTGGGTAAAGCCGCTGCCTGTGACGCCAGCATCCCATATGGGCCCCAGTTCAAGTCCCGGCTGCTCCACTTCTAATCCAGCTCCCTGCTAATGGGTCTGGGGAAGCAGCGGGAGACGGCCCGAGTGCTTGGGCCCCTGCACCCACGTGGGAGACCGGGAAGAAGCTCCTGGCTCCTGGCTTCTGACCGGCCCGGCACCAGGCTGTTAAGGCTATGCAGGGAGTGAACCAGCGGATGGAAGAGATCCCGCTCTCTCTGTCTGTCTGAGTCTCTCTCTGTCTGTAAGCACCATAAGCTGGATGATTCCAAGCCAGGGGAGCTTGTCTCTCCCAGGGGCTGGGAGGCGTGAGGCCAAGGTGCCAGCTGTCTCGGCAAGTGCTCAGCGTGGAAGGAGCCGGGAGCCCCTGGGGTCTGGTTTGTCCCCGCACTAATCCTAACGCCCCCAAAGCCATCACAAGCAGGGTAGTGTTTCGTTGAATTTTGAGGGTCACAAACCCTCAGGCCACAGCAGTCACCTGGGATGGACCACAGATAAGAGCAACCACAGCTCAGACTCAGAAAATGGGGCTGTTGAGAGACGCGGTGCCTGTGCAGGGTCTACACCTCCGGTAGCACGGCAGCCAGGGAACCTTGCCGGGTTTTTCCTCAATGTACGTTCCGTGTGGTTCCGCACGCTGCTTGCCTCCCCCTCCCCCCGCCAGTACACATCCAATTGCTTGCCCCTGCGCCAGTACACAAAGAGTTTCCTAATTGATTTATTTTTAAAGATTTATTTATTTGAAAGGCAGAGACGGTGAGAGATCTTCCACGTCTGGTGCTGGACAGCAGTCAGGGCCGGCCCGGGCCAGACCCAGGAGCCAGGAACTCCATCTGTCTCAGCCTCCCACGTGGGTTTCGGGGACCCGCTAGGAGCCATCACCTGCTGCACCCCAGGCACTCCGAGGCGTCCCAAGCTGCCCCTAACAGCTGCTCGAACTCACTCTATATTGCTCCTGTGTTCTCAAGGGGTTGCCTGCACGCTGGCCCATTCGTACCACAGGGACCGAATCCCTTAAAATCTTCCCTCTCGTCCAAGAGGGCCAGGGTTCCAGTGCCCGGACGCCCCACCTGCTGCCTGCAAAGCCGCCCGTCTACACTGCGGGGAAGATTGGTTGAGTCCTGTGGGGGGTGCTCACGGGGTGCCAGAGTTGCAGGCGCAAAGGCCCGGGGGCGCGGCTGCACGCGTAGCCGCCTGTCCCTGGGGTGCACCAGCGCCTCGGTACCAGGCTCCCGGGGCAAGTCTGCCCACTGGCCTCCGAGATGCATTCTGGGACTTGTAGTTTTCTGCCGATCCCGGAAACTCCCGAGTGACGACCACCGAGTCCCGCCACAAGGCGTCGCCCTTCGGTCCTCAACTTCCCAAGAGCAGGACGAGCAACAAACACCGGGGAGAACGGGAGCTGCGTTGATTGACAGATGCCGTTCTCAATCAGAACCAAGACTCCGTCGTTAAAGCCTGCCCTCTTTTACCTTGTTGGCTGAGCAAACGAAATGATATTTATACAAGCCAATGGGAAATTTTTAGGGAACTAAGTAGAGTCAAGTGACAAACCGGTGTCTTAAGAATTGATCCTTGACATCATTGGGCAGCTTTTTCGACCGGCGCTTCTTTCCACCAATAAGACAGCGGTCCTCCCCCAGTGGGCGGGCCAACATACTCCCCCCCCTGAAACACCGCCTCCCAGCCCTGACAACTCGCTTTCCGTCGCTATTGGCTCTCGCACAGCAGTGACAGTTCTGGAGCCCAATGAGCCCGCGAGATAGTACTCATGGGGAAGGCCTATCAACCCAGGGGCCCGTGCCTCAATTTCATTGGCTGTCGTGCACGAGTGGCTGCGCTCAAGTCCAATAGGCAGCGGCGCGAGGGCTTTGGGCGCAGCCCCCGGGGCCGGGGCGGGAGGTCGCTCGGGTCGGGTGTCGCCTGAGAACCGGATGAGGCGGCGACCGTGAGGCCGAGCCGGGAGCGGGCGTCGCGCCGAGGCCCGGGCGGGCGGGGAGCAACGGCCGCAGACGCCGCGGGGCCGGGGGGTCGTTGAGGGCCGGGGCGGGGGGGACGGGCGTGGAGCGCGGGGCGCTCGGGCCGGCGCCATGGGCAACCGCGGGATGGAGGAGCTGATCCCGCTGGTCAACAAGTTGCAGGACGCCTTCAGCTCCATCGGCCAGAGCTGCCACCTGGACCTGCCGCAGATCGCCGTGGTGGGCGGCCAGAGCGCCGGCAAGAGCTCGGTGCTCGAGAACTTCGTGGGCCGGTGAGCGGGGCCGCGGGGCGGGCGGGCGGCCCGGGAATGGCGTGAGTGCGGCGCTTGCGTGCCCGCGGCGGGGCCGGGGACGGAGAGGCGGGCCCTGCGGACGCCCTGGGCGGAGGGCTCGCTGCAGCCGTGCACGGGGTCCCTTCCGGGCTCCGCTCCCCGCCCAGTGGTGGCCGGCGGTGGGGGCCAGGCGCGGATCCCCGCTTGGCCGTCTTGTCTCGGCGAGACCAGCCTAGGGGGCGACCCCTGCGGTCAGTTTGCCCGTCTGGCCGGCCGCGTCTCCGGCTCGGACAAGCCTCCCTACCACCACCATGCGGCTGTCCATCTGTCCGGCCCCGCCTGGCCAGGGTGCCCCTCCGCCGCCCATCCGGGGCGCTCACAGACTGGAACCCTCGGAAGCTGCTGTGTTGCCAGCCCCTCGCTGGCCTCCGCCGTCTGATTGGCTGTGCCCTAGGGCTCCCTGTCGTGCCGTCTGATTCTTCAGCGTGGTGCCTGGTGAACGCCGGCTCCTCTCTGCCAAGCGGCTGCTCTGGCTGGCTGTCCTGGTGTCTGTCCTTCTCCTGCCCCAGCAGGTGTCTGGCCCCGCCCCTCGGGCTCCCGGTGCGGGGAGAGTGGTGGGGAGTGGAGCCCCTTCCCTGCGTGCCTGAGCTGGAAGTAGGACTTGGTGGAGGCACCTTCCCCCTGGGTTTGTTCCTGAGCCGGGTCAGGGGGCGCCCCCACCGTGGGGCGTGGGAAGGGTCTTTGTGCTTGGTTTGGTCTCGGTGGCTCAGGCTGGGAAGCCGGCGTTGGCCGCAGTGCCCAGTGGGCAGATTCCACTCGCTGACGCTAATGAATGGAGCCCTCCCGGCGCCTCCCTGCCCCCACCTCCATTCCAGGAAGTGCTCCACTGTGTGCCGGCTTGGCTGCCGACTGGTGACATCCTGGTCGTTCTGGCCATTGGCATGACTGTCGCCCCTTGCAGTGGTGAAGGGAAAGGGCCCAGCCCGAGTGAGGGTCCCATGAGGGGCACAGGAGGGCGCCCGGGCCCCGCCTCCCCCAGCTCCGCCGCGAGTTTCCTCCGTGGCCCTGCGTCCTCCTCTGTGGTGGGCAGGTGCAGACTTGGCCCAAGCCTCAGGCCGGCTTCCTGCCTGCCCTGGCTTCCCGCTCCGTCTGCTTCCTTTGCCTGGGGCCCTGGCACGGTCATTTGGCTTCCGTAAGCCTCAGTCTTCTGTGCTACAAATGGGGTGACGGCCCCCCCAGGCGCCCGGGGAGCTGCGCTGGAGGTGCTAGCTTGGTGCGTTGTCCGGCACACGGGTCTGCCTGGATGGGGCGGCTCCGTGCCGACCGTGAGCGTGAGCCACCGTCAAAGCACTTTGAAACGAACTCCCTGCACGGTCCGCCGTCAGAGGGTGCGGCTGCTGTGGCCCCATTTTACAGAGCGGGACACTGAGGCCCGGAGCAGCCTCGCTCCTGGCTGTTGGGGGAGGCACCACGCGCTGTTGGGGGAGGCAGGGGCCGAGCGCTGGAGCCCTCCCAGGAGGCTGGAGCCGAAGTGGAGACGGCTCCTCCCTGGCATTCGGATATGGCATGGCGGCAGCACCCGCTGCGGGCCAGCAGGTCTTGGGGTGGTGCTTAGGCCCTGGCCCACTGCCTGGTGTTCCGCTGGGGACGGATTTGGCTTTCTGGGTCTCCGGGGTGTTCTCTGTGATGTGGGCGTGATAACCGGACCTCGCCTGCACCTGGATGAGAGTGTGTGGGTCCTGGACCCGTGGCTGCCGTCGGCGTCCTCACAGCCCTGGCAGTGACTGTGGGTCTCCGATCAGCGGCTGCCGCTGTCCCCACTCCTCCCTAGCGCTCGCCCAGCCCCTGCCCCAGCAGGTATATCTGTGGCCCTGAGGAGGATGGGGCGTGGCTCCCTCTTGGCCCCGGCGCTCAGCCTCTGGGGCTGGCAGGAGGGAGGGGGAGAGGGAGGGTGGCTCAGCAGGGGCTCTGGCCTGTGTGCTTGCTGCCTTCAGCCTCAGTTTGCTCAGCTAGGAAATGGGACTGCTGCCAGGCCACGCCGGGTGTGTGTCACCTCCAGGTCAGGGTCCCTGTCGTTGTCATTGCTGTGAGACCTCTGGCCAGGGGCTCTTCTGCCCTTCCTTTTTTTTTTTTTTTTTTTTTTTTTGTAAGTATTTATTTGTTTGAGAGTCAGAGTTATTGGGGGGGGGTGTCTTCCATCCCCTGGTTCACTCCCCAAATGGCTGCAATGGCCAGATCAGGCCAGTCAGGAGCCAGGAGCCCCATCCGGGTCTCCCACACGGGTGCAGGGGCCCAAGCACTTGGGCCATCTTCCTCTGCTCTCCCAGGCGCATTAGCGGGGAGCTGGATGGGAAGTGGAGCCGCCGGGACAGAATCCACGCCCCTGTGGGTGCCGGCGCTGCAGGTGGCAGCTTCACCAGTTATACCACAGCGCCCGCCTCCACCTTTTCTCTTCAATATGGGCATCGTGCATATAATTTTTATCGATTTATTCCCATTTGATTTGCAAGTCAGAGACAGAGGTCTTCCACCCGCTGGCTCACGCCCCCCTGGGCTGGGCCAGGCCGAAGCCAGGCTCCAGCAGCTCCATCCGGGTCTCCCACGTGGGTGGCAGGGAGCCAAGTGCTTGAGCCGACACCTGGTCCCCTCCAGCACAGTGCGCATGAGTGAAACCAAAACGGGCACTCGGGTACGCCGGGGCACAAGCTGGGGCCTTAGCCGCGGCACCACGTGCCGCTTTGTTGGGGATGGAGTGGGGCTGAAATAGGATTTAGAGTGCTCGGGACGAGCAGGGAGAAAGGGCTCAAAACGTCAGGTCGGTCCTTGCCTTTGAGCCTGGGACAGAAGTGAGAGCGAGCCACACCTTGCCCTGGGCAAGGAAGGGGCAAAGGGTAAAGGGCAGGATCAAGTCGAGAGTTTAGTGGGGAGGGATGCAGCCAGTGCAAAGGCCCTGGGGCCTCTGAGCTGTGTCTGAGGAGGAAAGTGAAAGGGGAGGACAGGGAGGTGTCGTGTTGGTCATCGGAAGTGGAGCAGCCGGGACACGAACCGGCGCCCATGTGGGATGCCGGCACTGCAGGGGGCGGTCTCACCCGCTACACCACAGCGCCGGCCCTGTACTGTTCTGACAAGGAGCAGCTGTCCATGGGTCCCCATGGGACTGAAGACGGGGGTCCTGTTGCACCTGCCTGTGCCTTGGTGGTCCCAGCTCGTGGCTCAGGTCCCTGGAGACTAAGGGACACGTGACCTCCCACTTGGGCTGGGTTGTCCCTCTCCGGATATGGGGCATTGAGAGCCCCTTGGACAGCACCAGCTTGTGGCTTGCAAAGGCCACACAAGGCCCGCCCAGGTGGCCTGCAGCTCCTGGGGCAGGGGCAGGGGCGGAGCCTGGTGGCCTGGGCGGGGCCTCGGCTTCCTCATCTGGAAATTGGGGGTGGGGTGCCTTTTGCGTCTCGCGTGCCTTCAGCCTGGACCCCATGGTCGCTGTTCATTTCACGTTCCCTTAAAAACCAGGAAAGGAGCTGTACCTCGTTCAACAGGTGCCTGCCAGTGTAGGCGGAGTTCTGGCTGGGGACGCGGCCAGGGCCTGGACGCACACGCACGCACGCCTGGCTGGCTGGCTGGCTGCCCCGTTCCCCAGTTCCTGAAACACCGCCCTGGCTGGTCCCGGTCCCGTCCTAAGGTGCGGTCGTGGCTGCAGACAAATACTTGGTGATTTTTCACCCGTTCCGCTTGCAGTACTGGGAGGCTGGGGGCAAAGAGAGAAGAAAGGAGAGACGATCTTCCGGCCCCTGGGGAGTCTGAAGCCAGGGCCGTGAGCTCCATGCTGGTGGCAGGGTCGCAAGGACTTGGGCCGTGACCGCTGCCCCCACCCCTGCCCCCCGGGTGCCGAGAGGGAAGGGGAGCAGCTGGGCGTGGAGCTGGCTGTGGCGTGGGTCCCGGGCATCCTGGCTCTCACCAGGGGACACAGCGCTGGCCTCTGGGCGGCTTTGGCGGGAGCTGCAGAGGGAGACGTTTTAGGCTCAAGGATGCCCGGGACCCACTTCACAGTCCCGGGCGGGGGGTGGGGGGGCTCAACTCGGACTCCGCTGCTTGCAGCCCGTCACCTTGGGGGGCAGCAGTGGGGGCTCAAGTGTCTGGGGCCCTGCACCCACGAGGGAGACCCAGATGGAGCGGCTGGCTCCTGGCGTCAGCCTGGCCCGGCCCTGGTTGCTAGAGGCACGTGGGGAGTGAAACAGCAGATGGAAGCGCTCTCTCTGTCTCCGTTTCTCTGTTTCTCTGCCTTCCGACGAGCTGGAAACAAGTTGAGAGGGGTGCAAAACAACTCAGAGTTTCCAGAGAGACCCGGGCCGAAGGGGCTGGCCCGGGCCGCCCGGCCCCGCGTCTCCGTCCCGGCATCTGCGGCGGGCCCTGGCTCGCAGCCACGTCTGCCAAGCTCTTGCCCCATTTGAATGAAAAGGCTGAAATTATAGGCTGTCCGAGTGTTGGGAAAATGGGAACATCAGCTAAACCCTCATTTGCTGGGAAGACGCCAACTGTGCGCTGTAATTAGGCCCTTATTGTGTTAGAGCAGTGGAAAACGCGAGGCAGGAATGAGATGTTTAGCGGGCATGAGCTGCAACCGGAGTACACGGGAGAAGTCGCCCTGCCTCCCCAGCAAATGCCACCGGAAAGCGAGGGCTCCTGCTCGCCGTGAGGCTGTGCGCTCCTGTTAGTGCCGGCAACCCGGCCCCCACTGGGTGCTGGGGGATTTCCCCCCGGAGTCACCCTGAACTTGGGTCTGGGGCTAGATGGCCTCTGGGCTCCATCTGCAACTCCATGGTCCTGACATCAGGCCCTGCTGCTCTCTGCGTCCCTGCCTTACAGATGGGGAAACTGAGGCTGGCGGGGGGGGGGGGGGCCTGAAGCCCGGGAGTCCAGGAGTCTGGGTCGTGCAGCACTGGGCATGGGGACTGGGGACGGGAAGGTGTGGGCCGCCTGCTGGGCGTCAGGGGGGATGGTGG